AAACCAATCTTGTATCACTCATCTCTCTCTCTCTCCCTCTCTCTCTCGCGGTCTTCTTCTTCGTCGTGGTCCTCTTACTGCAGGTGCGCGGCGGCTTCCTCAACCCAAGGTCCGCTATGGCGGACTATCTCCTTCGGTCGCCACCTCAGCTATGGCGCATCAGCCCTGCACACGACGACGTGCGTGGAACAGCGGGTACCAGCTCCGATACCAGTGCAATCAGACTCAACTTATTCACACTTTTCATGCACGTGAACAGCAGAACAACAAACTGGCGACATGCGCCCACACAGAACTCAGAGATATGGCTTCCAAGTAACAGTTCGCTTCCACTGGCTATGACGACTGTGCGCCTCAAACAACTCACTGTTCACACTCAGGATCACCCTGAATATCCCACACACATCACTCTGAACACTCACACAGTACACACACACTGCACTCTATGCTAAGCTATGACAGCTATGGCTGCCGCTACCTATCGCTATGGCTACACTGCTTCACTCTCGCCCACTTCGTCTTCGGGCCTCCAACAGACCTCCTTGCACAAGACGCTGAGGCAGATCTTCCACATGGCTTCCGCATGAATGAATGAATGGCTGGGCGCAGCCCCTTGATTTATACTTCTGTGAGGCGTTGGTCTGCCCTGTAACCCCTGGCCCGTGGGGCACACAGTCCCAGACGGTACTTGCTTGACTGGACCGGACTGGGTGGACTGGGACTGCTGACTGTACGAGGTGGACTACCACCACTTGACCACTTGCCTCTGTCTAACGTAGGCTGACTCTGAAAGGCCACTTCTAGAAACCTCTGTCTTGGCCTTTCGGTACTATCGCAGCTACGACTTTGCCCTTTCAGGTAAGTAGCAGCTACGACCTTGACCCTTCAAACAGTCTACAGCTACGACCTCTGGACTGTCTAGACTCCTACTCGACAGGTCTACAGTTCGAATCCCTTCTACCCTGTGACCTACCAAATCCTACCTACCACTGGCGGTCCTACAGGTCGCAGGTTCAATTCTACGGGTTGACACAGATACTATACACAGGTAAGGTGGGGATCTAGGGATCGAGCCCTGGGATCTGCAGCAGCTACTGCGAACCGGTGAATACTGTTTCAGCCGTGCCGTACTATTGTAAACAAAATGGCAGCGCTTCGCCGTGCCGTACCACCGCAAAAAGACGGCGGCGCTTTGCTGTGCCGCACCATCGTAAAAAGACGGCAGCGCTTTGCTGTGCCGTACCACCGTAAAAAGACCGGTGGCACTCCGCCACACTGTACTACCGTGCCGTGAAAACGGCAGCGTCACTCTTCAAAACAAAGTGCCGCCGACGTGCCGTGAAAATGGCAGTGTAACCCCTCAAAATAAAGGTGCCGCGCCGATGCCGCGGCATTTCGGCAGCATAACCCCACAAAAATGGGTTATGGTTGCCGAAAATATCGGTCGGCACGCCTCCACCAGTTGTCGTGCTCCCCGTCGTTCCTTGCCGCGCTCCGCTGCCGCTCCTCACCACGCTGCCGCAGAGTCCCCCCTTGAGACCAGCCTGCCAAGGGGTGGAGCAAAGTGCTCCAGCCAAGGCTATGGCTGTCTCCTCCTTCGTCGCGCTCCTCCGCAGTCCTGCAACTCCGCCGACAACACTCCTGCCTCCTCTCTAGCTCTCCAGCAATGAGGCAAGTGTGCTGTCACACACTGGCAGCTGGAGGCAAGTGTGAGGCAGTTGGGGGACAGCTGCCTCTTTTGTAGTGGCTGAGGAGGGCAGCAGCAGCCTCAGCTGCCCCCAGGCAAAATTCGTCACTTGCCTGGGGCCGTTGATGTGAGCCAAATCAACGGACTGAGGCTGCCTCACCTCAGCCACACACTTAGGGTGGCAGTTGTACTCAACTGCCTACCTCTTTTTTCTCCCTTTTCCCCACACCGAGTGCAGGTTCAGTGGGAAAATGGTTGTTTCCAGCCAAATTCCCCTCACTGACCCTCCAATTCCCCAGCCTCTGGCCTGAGTCTCATTCAGGCTAGTTTGGTCTGTATCTGATCATAGCCGCGGCCACATTCGTGGCCGTGGCTTTTTTTTTTCCCCTTTTTCTCCCTTCATCCACTGCCCTCCCATGAAAACGGGGAGGACAGTTGTCAGTGTTGGGAGGAGTAGGCCCTCCTCCTCCCAACTCTCCCATTCCCCACTCTCTCCCTCAGTCTTTTCAACCCCCCTTTCCTGCCTGTGCTTGCATACAGCCCACGACCCCAGCCAGATTCAGACACAGGCTGGGGTGGTTCCCTCAGCAACTGCTGAGGGAAAAGTTGCTCGTTTTCCCACGAGCAACTGTGTGGCGCCTGTTGCTCAAGCAACGACGCCTATTTCTTTCTCTGAACGAGATAGGAGGGGGGGGGTTAAAGTGTGGGAGTTTATATTTCCATGTTCTGGTAGGAGATTCATTCAATTTTGCCCATCCTTAGATGTGCTGTCGGGGTTGCAACCCCCTGATGAGTCGGTGCAAGTCCGACGAAACAGCCTGGCTCGGTCATCCCTTCCCCCACCTTTTTCTCTATCTTTGCGTCTGTACCCAGGCTCCATAAGAGCCGGGTTCAGGCGCTTCAACACCCAGCTGCCCGTTTTCAAAACGAACGGGTGTTGAGCTAGGATCTAAAGAAGATTCAAAAAAAAAAATAAAAAAATCTAGAAATAACAGAAGGAAAAAAAAAAAAAAAAAAAAAACTAGCTTACCTAAAAGTCGGCTGCCCGTTATTACAGGCGCCTGCAATTGTCCGTGAGGACTGTAAGTCCCCATCTCTTCTGAATGCGCCACATGGCGCCCACCATCGATTTTTTTTTTTTTTTTTTTTTTTTTTTTTWTACCGTTGGCATAAGCCAATGGTCACGACATTTGGCCTTGCGCCTTGCTGGCGCCTTCCCCTTTCCCCTTCTGCTATGCAGACCGGAGTTCGATTCCCTTTAGGGAATCGAAAAAAAAATTGGACGATTTCTCGATTTATGCGTGTCATCCTCTGCGCAAGGCCATGCTAATCTGCGCGCGGCTGTTTCCAGCCGCGCGATCTAAGTGATCGTACGGCCGAAAACGGCCGAGCCGGATGGCTGGGCTACTCCTCAAAAAGGAGCTAGCCCTCGTAGGACGCTTTGCAGATTCGATCCTGGTATATGCTGGGTAAGAGTCGGCTGCGTTAACCTATTGGGCTAGCTCCTGTTCCACACTGAACAGGAGCAGCTCTTCAATATGAAGAGCTAGCCCAGGCATCTCCCCGGCCTGTGGCCTTGCCACCTCCGCCCGGCTGCGGCCTAGCAGGCCCTGCCTGTCGGTTGGTTGCATAACCCCGGCTTAACCGACCACCCAACCGGGTAGGCCTCGGCATCGACCTGTCGGTCTTCTTTAAAAAAATAAAAAACCCTTCCTAATCTTCTCGCACCGCGGATCTAACCCCCGACACGACCACCTTTCTTACCTACTAAGGCCCTGAATTGCGCGGCTGTACAGCCGCGCGTCAGTTTTTTAGATAGAATAGTCTAGCTTTAGCCTTTTCATAACCGGGCATCCCTGTGGTCTAGTCTAGAACTGCAGACGACAGTCCATACCATTGACTCCCGCTGTGACGTCAGATTCTAAAAAATTTTTACGTCTCTCAGTCATAAGGTTGGTCTGAATAACTTTTGGCAGACGTCAGTCTCATCAAGTTTCCTTAATTTAACGAAAAAGTCGGACAACGTCCGACATTGAAAAACCCGAGCAGATACCCTTGTAAGGGTTTCTGCTCCGACAACGTATTCAGAACAGGAAGTAGAGGTCGTCCACAAAAGCAGTATAAGGTTCGATTTGCTTATCAGGAACCCGAGGACGACCGCTGGTTTACTAGGACCAAACTTCTAGAAACAGCTCCCGACGTAGTTAGAGCCTACGAGAGAGAGAAGAAAGGTAAAAATCCGGTCTTGGACTGAATTATTCTCGGAGGACCTCGAATTTAGGCTGGTGGAAGTGAAACAGTATTCACCTGTTAGCAGTAGCGAATGCAGATCCCAGGGCTCGATCCCTAGTTCTCACCTTACCTATGTACAGTACCTGTGTCGACCCCGAGAGTTGAACCCCTGACCTATGTGTTCGCAGCAGTTGGTAGGCTGTCGTAGGTCCGTAGGTCGTAGGGGTTCGATCTCTAGACCTGTTGGATAGAGGTCTCAGTGAGTCCTAGAGGTCGTAGCTGTAGGTGTCCTGAGGGGTCAAGGTCGTAGCTGCTACAGTCCTGAAAGGTCAAGGTCGTAGCTGCTACTGTATTCGAAAGGCCAGGTCTGCAGACTTCCGGAAGGTCCCAGTAGTGGCCTTTCGAAGTTTGCTCACGTTTAGACAGAGGCAAGTGGGCAAGTGGTGAGCCCAACTGTGGTACGTCGGTAGTGAGACTGCATCGAGTTGGCAGTGCAAACCCATGCAGTCAGCGGTACCGGTCCCAGTCAGTCACAGTCCAGTCAAGCAAGTACCGTGTGGGACTGTGTGCACCAGGGGCATGGGAAAGGGGGCAGACCAACGAGCTACAGAAGTATAAATCAAGAGGCAGCGCCCAGCCATTCATTCATTCCTGCGTAAGCCATGCGGAAGCGCTGCTTGAGCGACTTGTGCGAGGTGGTCTGCAGAGCGCCCGGAGACGAAGTGGGCAGAGTAGAGGTTACATAGCCATAGCCAGCAGGGTTGAGCGGCCATAGCCGCTGTAGGTGGTAGGCGAGTGTAGTGTGTGCGCGTGTGTGATACAGTGTGTCGCGTGTGGGATATCCAGGGTGATCCCGAGTGGAATGTGTGTGAACATAAGCGTGGTACACAGTGACGAACAGAGAGTTGTGCAGGCGCTGATGCGCCATAGCCTGTTGAAGTGAGCATGTATCTAAACTGTGTTTTCGGGTTTCCATACATCTCTGAGCTTTGAGTGGGCACTGAGCGCCAGTGTGACATGTCATCTGTTTGCATGAATGCGAAGTGAAAAGAAAGCGAGTCTGATTGCATCTCTCTCTCTCTCTTTCTCTCTCTCTCTCTCTCTTTCTCTCTCTCTCTCTCTCTCTCTCTCTCTCTCTCTCTCNCTCTCTCTCTCACACACACACACACACACACACACACACACACACACACACACACACACACACGCACACTGGGGGCACGTTTAATATTTTTATTTATTGTGGAGCACTGGGCGCACAGGTGGCAGCGTACGCACCACACCGCACAGCGCACAGTGTGCGCGCTGCTAAACCAGCGCACTGCGCACCGGCGCGCACCACGCAGCAAACACGTGCGCCGCAACTATGCTTAAATGTGACACCAGATAGCCTTTTTTTAATTTTTATGTGTAATGACCCGCCAAAAACACAGACTGAGAACACTGCTGATTTCTGGGATTTGCCGCTGGAATGAATGCCTTGCTGAGATTCCCGCTTTCTGCTGTGATTTTCATGTGTGTGTGTGTGTGCGTGCCTGCTGGTTTGCATGCCTGTCTGAGTGCTTGTCGGCTGAGTGTGTGTGTGACCCGCAAGGGTACTTGTTGGTTGAAAGGCCCCGCAGGGCCAGTACTTACCTGTGGCCGTGACTTCGAGGGTTGCAGCGGGGAAAACACTCGAGTAGTGGGGGTAGGACCGTGACACTTAGAGCACAGGGGAAAAACACTCAAGTAGCAGGTAGGCCGGTACCACTCAAGTAGTGGTAGAAGTGTCGGGTACTGGAGGCCGAGCAGAAGAAGACAAAAAGTTGGCATTTTTAGAGGCCCAGTAGCGGTAGGCCAGAGGTAGGCCGGTACCAGTCCAAGTAGCCTGGGTCTAGGGCCTGTCCAGAGGATAGCAGAGCCTGCAATGATGTTTCCCTCCGAAAGGGAGGAGGTACCGGTTGCTGGGAGGCCGCTCGGCCCAGGAAGTCACCGCCCAAGAGGCCAGTCCGCTATATCTTCGGGAGGATTAAGTAGCTCCTCCTCATTTGCGGTATGCAAGGATTGGCGACATGCTGCTGAGCGAAGCGCTGGACTGGTACAGCGCTGCCTGGAGGTGAGGGGCAGCTGGGCGCTCAGCTTGGCTATGGCGAGCAGCCCAGCCTGAGGAGGAGGAAGAAGGGGGCGAAGGAGGAGAGTGGCGAGGCACCTACCTGGCTATGGTGGACACCATCTTCATCACCTTGTTGGGCGCAGCATCTGGAAGGCCCCAGTTGGGGTAGTGCCGCACCAAGGAAGCTCGAGGCAGAGTCAGGCATGGCGGCTTAGTCAGCAGCGGCATAGCTGCTTTGGGTTGTCCTTTGGACAGGAGTGCAGCGCCTTAGCTGCTTTGGGTTGTCCTTTGGACAGGAGGGCAGGGCCCTCAGTAGTCCGCCATAGCCCAGGCATGTGAGAGGAGGAAGAAGGAGGGAAGCCATAGCTATGGTGGACTTGTTGTTGTTGTTGTTGGGTCAGCCGTAAGGGGGAACTTCGGATACTGATTCTGGTTCATCCACTCATTGTTATTATTATTATTGAGAAGAAGAATAAGATTGGAGAGGTTAAGGAGGAGGAGGAAGGTGGAGAGAGAAGGGGGGGGTTGTCATTGGTCTTGCTGGTGTACATCTTCTTCTTCTTCTTCTTCTTCTTCTTCTTCCTCTTCTTCTTCTTCTTCTTCTTCTTCTTCTTCTTCTTCTTCTTCTTCTTCTTTCCCTCTTCTCTGGTCTCTATCTCTTTGCAAGTGCTTTCATTTCTTTCGCAATTGGGTGGCATTGTCTTTCAGTGTGAATTTGCACTTTGGGAATGACCAGGATCGTAACATATGTCTTTTTTTTTGTTTTTCAAATTCCCTTTTTTTTTTTGCAAACAAGAAACTTTGTGCCTTAACAGGCTGTAAAACAAACTCATCGTCCCTGACAACAACAAAAAGCAAGACACTAAAGAGATTCCATGAATTCTTCTGACTTCTCACACAATCGGTCTATGTTTTTGGAAAACACTTCCTTTGTGCATGCACGGACTTTCGTTGAGGTGACGAGAAACGGGTGAGCCGACTGTTTTCTTTTGGCTTCTACATTGCTGTTGTCATGTCTGTGTTGAGCTTGGTGGGAAAGTATACCCCCCTCCCTTCCCCCCCCACACTCACAAAAAAAAAAAAGTATACCAAAGAAGGATATAGTGATACGCCCGAGACTCATTGTCCGCCGAGGCCCTGTCAAGGAGCTTGTATGCACTCTTCTGACTTCTTAGTAAGTTCTTACACTATTGATCCATGTTTTTGGAAAACAACTTTCTTGGCGCATGCACAGACTTTCGTGAAGGTGACCGGAAGTGGGTGGAGCCGACTGTTTTTCTTTGGCTTCTACGTTGTTGTTGTCATGTTTATGTTGAACTTGGTGAGTATGGATTGCATGTCACCGGACGTGGCTGACCACATGGCTGTCTCATTCATCTGTTCTCTTTTCTCCCCTCCTTGCCTGTGTTCCATAGTTCCCACATGCATTATCTAGAAAGTGTGCATGCGTGTGCATCAGGTACTGAGCCTGTCTTTAGTCCAGTGCCCTGCCCTGGCTGTAACCTGCAAGGTCTTGAACTCTTGTCCGCAGGTTTACGGGTCTATAGCAATCGTAGCACAAACCAACAAAGAGGTCGTTTTGGTTCACTTGAGCACAAATTGGCGAAAAGACATTCGTCTACCAGAAGATGGAAAGTTACAATCCTCGTCCTCCTCCTCCACCCCCTCCTCCTGCATCGTCGTCGTCGTGGTCGCCTTCTTCTTCTTCTTCTTCTTCTTCTTCTTCTTCTTCTTCTTCTTCTGAGGCAGAGAGAGACTTCTTCTGAGAGAGAGAGAGAGAGAGAGAGAGAGAGAGAGAGAGAGAGAGAGAGAGAGAGAGAGAGAGAGAGAGAGAGAGAGAGAGAG